AGCCGCGAGAGCGGCTGCTGTGCTTGTAAGGCTGTCTTCAGTGCTTCTTAGGGCTTTCTTCTTTCTGGTCCTGGCTTTTCGCTGGCTCCTTACTGCCTTCTTTTTGTTCTTGGTCTTGCTCTTTATGGGAGGGCAATGTGTTCTTAATTGTGTTCATCAGAAATATTTTATTCGTCTCAGCAAGAGGACACTTCATCCAGCCCATAGGTCCCACGATTTCTGCTCTAGTTTTCCCACGTTTCGCCTCCTTAAGTAGTTCTTCTATTACCTTCCTCTCCAGTTCCTGGTCCTCTTCCATCACAGACACGGTTTCCAGGATCCTCAGGTGGTGTGAGCAGATTAGAGGCTCTGCCCCATATTGCCAAACGTGCGGAAGCAGCAGGAAGGAAGAACACTGCCTCAGTTTCTTCGTCTGAGAAATGGGTCCGGCTGGTTTTGCAGTACAGTGATTATGTGCTATACATAGGGAGGCAGATCCTACATGTTTAACCACAGTTGAAATCTCAATCCTGATAGCTTGGAAAAAAAGTGCATATTAGTCCCAAATCTGGACAAGATGGGAAAATGGAGGAAAAAAGATTGGGGCATGACTACGCCACACTGGAGGTGGAGAGGCTGTGCTTTCTTTTTCTTTCTCTGGCAAGTACATGCACCTTCTAGCCAAAAAGAAAAAGAAAAGAAAATAGGGACTGGTTTAAGGCACTGGACTCCCACATGGCTGACTGTAATTTGATTTTCTCTCTCTCTCTGTCAAATTTAAAAATAATAAATAAAATTAAAGAATTATTTTTTAAAAGAGGAAAATGGGGGTAATATATTAGTATCTAGTATAAAAGTTTCCTGGGTACATTAAATGAATTAATTTCATTATAATTTATTATAATGGTGCCTGGAACACAATAAAGCACTCAGTCATTAGAAACCATTAGTCTTCTTTTTCATTCTGTCTCTTTTTTTTTAATTGTCAGAGGATATGTGTGCTTACCAAAGAAAGACAGAGACAGAGAGAAGGAGAGGGAGAAAGCACAACCCAATGGGACATAGTAACACTACAATCCCTTCTCCTCCTTTGCGCCATTCTGTTGAGATTTGAGGCATGCACATATTTATATATATCTGTCATGTTTTTCAAGCCACTGGGGCTGAGATTTGATCCGTGCAGTCGGCCATGTGGGATCTGGCTGCTCTAACCATCAGGTAATGGAACCAGTCCACTGAATCTGGTTTTTACAGTAGGTCAGAAATTGAACCCGGGCCTCCCACATGGTCTCAGTCTGTGGAGTAGCAGCACCTTACCAGTGTGTACCACTGTGGTTGGGCCTGATTCTTATTATCATTACTATTACATATAAAATTAAAAATGAAAAAATTTGATAGACCATCATCAAAGGGCTGGTATCCTCTGAACATTAAAATGATAATAAGGGGCTGGGAGGTGGTGTAGTGGTTAAGGCACTGGACTCCCACATGGCTGACTGCAGTTTGAGTCCTGGACCTGGCGGCCTGTTCTCTCTCTCTCTCCCCACCTGGTCAAAATGAAGAACAATAACAATAAATAAAATGAAATAAATATTTTTTTAAAAAAAACAAAGGATAAGAGAATATTATAAGTAATTGACCAGAAATATCATATTGTTGATCAGGGGAAAGCAAACTATGGCCTGCTGGCCAAATTTAGCCTGCTGCTTGTTTTTCAATGGCCCAAAAACCAAGGATGTTTTTTATTTTTTTAATGACTGAAGAAAAAGGTCAGAGAAGAATAATATTTGATGATACATAAAAATTATATGAAATCCAACTTTTAGTGTCCACAAATAAAGTTTTATTGGATCTCAGACATACTCATTGATTTACATATCATCTACAGCTGCTTTGAACCTGGAACCGAGATGTCAATAGTTGCAACACAAACCACATGACCAACAAACCTAAAATACTCCTATCTGGTTCTCAACAGAAAAAGTATGCTGACCTGGGATTCAGATTAACTAGACAAATTACTTGAAAATCTCAGCTTACTGAGCCAGCAGGTAGTGTGATGATTAGGACACTGGACTCCCACATGGCTGACCATGGTTTGAGCACCAGACTCAGTGGCTTGAAAATCACACCAGGCATGTGTGCATGCATCCCCAGAATCCTGAGAAGAGACTAGAAGAAAAGGGATTGTGGTGTGGTCATCCCTCCTGGGGGTGATTTCTCGCTTTGCCTCTCTCTATTTCTTTCCAGTGAACATGTACACCCTATGGCAAAGACCTAAAGAAAAAAAAAAGAAAGAAAAAGAACATCTCAACTTACGAAACCTGACATAAAGAGAAATAGAGAATCTGAATGGTAGTATATCTTTTAAATAAATTGAATTAATAATAAAAAAAATTCCACAAAGAAAACTCCACACCCCACTGGCTTCACGTGGGAATTCTTCCAAACATTTAAGACAGAAATAACACCAATCTTACCCAAATTTTCCCAGGAATACTTTCAACTTGTTATATGAGGCCAAGAGAATGTGATGCCAAAACACGATGTGAATAATACAAAAAAAAAAAAAGTTACAGGCCAAGCTGTCTAATGAACATAGTAATATAAATCATAAACAAAATAGTCATAAGGAACTGGCTAGGGGCCAGCAGGTAGAGTGGTGTTTAAAGAACTGGACTCCCACATAGCTGACCACAGTGTGAGTACCGGACCTGGGGACTTGAAAATCACACCAGGCACGTGCACATGCATGCCCAAAATCACAAGAGAAGAATGGAAGAGAAGGGATTGTGGGTGGATTATTAAATCACCCCTGGGGGGTGATTTCTCACTTTTTCTCTCACCATCTCTCTCTGTCTCTCTCCAGCTAGCACACGTGACCTATGGCAAAAACCTAAATAAATCAAATTTTAAAAATAAGGAACTGGCTAGATGATGATGATGATAATGACAGAAGTGGATAGGGATAGATAAAACAAGATTGGCCACAAGTCCATCACAATTGCAGCTGGTTACATACAAAAGGGTTCACTAAAATCTCTACTTTTGTGTATGTTCAAAATTGAAGTTTTCCATAATAAAATGTATAAAAAGTACATCTATTGGGTATATGTTACCTACAGGTTAAAAAAGTTGCAGAGCCTCCATAGGCTTTTGCCATAGGGTGGGCGCCACCACGCCCAGATACCAGATACAGTGTGTGTGGAAGAGGAGAGTCTGAGGAAGGACATTTAGAAGAAAAATAGAGAGGCAAAGCATTAATGGGACAAAGAAATGTGGTATTATCTGTTGAAGATAATTTTATAGTTTTATCAACTGGACTAGGGAGAAATGTTCACATGTTGTAATATTCCCTTTGTAAGCTAAATAACATGATTGAATGTATAAAAGAAAATGAAATAAGAAATATAAAAAAGAAATAAATAAATCAAAATAATTCAAATTAAATAATTCTTTAAAAAAGTAAAAATAAAAGTTTCAGAGCATAACATAAATGTGTGTATTGTGTGTGTGGTAAACAAAATATGACAGTCATAAGATCACTTAAACGCATTTGCACATATACATCTACACACATAGATGGGGTTATATATATGTGAAGAAAAGAGTCTGAAAGAATCATTTCCAAACCAGTTAATCTTAGTGATGTCATAGAAAGAGGTAGAAGTTAAAATACAGGGACATTTTACTTCTATTCTTTACTATAGAGTTTCCATTATTTGCCCCATGTATAGATTACCTTTGCAGAGAGGAAAAAAAATAAAAAATAAAAATGGAAAGCAGAGAAGCAACTGGCCTTGAGCTGGGTCATGACCTCATAAATGCTGAAATGGCAGTAAAAGAGCCATGAAAAAACAGGAAACCATACCACTCTCCAAGCCTCTGTCAGAAAAGTTTAATGAAAAACAGCCTCTTTAGAACAACTGTTTATGATACTACCCAGAACTGAAAGGTACTGGTCATTAGGAAAACCCAATAAATTTTTTTAGGGTCAATTCTCAGAAATCTTGACTCACTGAGGAGCTGAACTGATTTTTTTTTATGTAGAATACAAATCATATAACTGATCATGTTCCATTTTCTCTGTGGCTACCAGAAAGCTCACAGTCAACATGTTTAACTTAGTTTACATGAAATAAGGACAGATGATTTATGCATATTCACACCAATTTTGCTTATGTGTTGATCTTCTATTCCCTCTAAATTTCTCAAATCCTTATTTTCGACTAATTGTCTCTTCCTATTTTGTTGTGAGAAAACTAAGTGGGAAACAAACAACAACTTAACTGGGACTCAATCATTTTCTATTTCTTTTTGGAAAGCAATTAGGGGTTGGGTGGAATGCAAAAGAGTCTTCAAAGACCAACCTGATTTAACCACTCTTCAATGCCTGAATATGAAAATATGTTGCTGTTAACTCATTGATGACTAGTGTTTCCCATCTGACCTAGTAACTCCGTCCCTGGAACTTTGTCCTAACATAATAATCATAAATGCATGCAGGGATTTAACTGCAGAAACCTTCAACACAGCTTTGTCTTTACCACAGTAAAACAGAAAATAACCTAAATGTCCAGTACTGAAAACATTAAATAAATTACAGAACCTCCAAAGGGTGCAAAGGCAGGCGACCGTGAAAAGTAACGCTCTAAGGCCAGTTCAATGGCACAGTGGTAACATGCTGGTCAAGAGATGCCAGATTCCACACGGCAACTGCAGTTCGAAACCCCAGCTCAGTCACCCTGAAAATAGGCAGGGCACCTGTGCGAGTGCTCAAGATCTGATGGGCCAGAGGACAGGAGGATGGGGACCATAGCATGACCAGACCCTGCAGAAGATGCCCATCTCTCTCCTTCTCTCTCTCTCACACACACTCACAAACATACACATTCACATGCTCTATCGTGATTTTTTTTTTTTAAGTAACACTCTAGAAAAAACAGAAAACCATCCCCCCCAAAAAGCCTCTGTCAGAAAAGTTTAATGAAAAACAGCCTCTTTAGAACAACTGTTTATGATACTACCCAGAACTGAAAGGTACTGGTCATTAGGAAAACCCAATAAATTTTTTTAGGGTCAATTCTCAGAAATCTTGACTCACTGAGGAGCTGAACTGATTTTTTTTTATGTAGAATACAAATCATATAACTGATCATGTTCCATTTTCTCTGTGGCTACCAGAAAGCTCACAGTCAACATGTTTAACTTAGTTTACATGAAATAAGGACAGATGATTTATGCATATTCACACCAATTTTGCTTCTTTGTTGATCTTCTATTCCCTCTAAATTTCTCAAATCCTTATTTTCGACTAATTGTCTCTTCCTATTTTGTTGT